AGTCTTTTTGAATTCTCTCTCCAACATTATTTTTGCAACAAGAATCTCATTGGAAAGTTTGTCACTTCCTGTCATTTTCTGCAGAAGCCTTAACATGTCAGGATCCAGAAGAGAGGGAGACTGAGGTTGAAGGCAGTTAACTGCTTTCATGAGATGGAGATTGCTTTTGGAGAATCTTGTCTCCATCTCTACAATGACCATGTCCAAAATGTTGGGAAGAGCTCTCTTCAGAGCCTGGCTAGGAGTTGTGGAGTCTTCTGCGTGGCCCACAGTGGACATTACAACACTACCTGTTAGCAGTGAGCTTGTTTTTTTTTTCTTTATCTTTTAGCAGCTGGTGCAGGTGTGCTGGTTAATGTCTCACTTTCCTCCTCTCTCGTCTGCCTCAAAGCCTGCAGAGATGCACTGACTACTTCTGAAGCACAGCACAGGTCAACAGAGACTGCAGCATAGAACTTGCAGACTTCAAGGAGCCCAGAACCTTTAGGAGGAAATTGTGCCTCCTTAACATCATCAACAGTCCTGATGCCTCTGTACAGATATCAACAGCAGCAGCGCTGTCCTCTGTAACCTCTGACAGGATACTCATAACAGCATCCTGATTCTCCACAAGGCACTTGGTCACATCATGGTGGCTTGTCCACCTGATCTCCAACAGTCGTTTCAGGGAGGGAACGTCATAGTTCTGTGAGTCATAATGATGGTGGGAAAATGAGTGGAGAGATCCTGAAAGATCAAAAAAGGTTTTTTTGCACATGGCTCTGCCTGCATAGCATGGACCACTGCCAAGTGCAGCTGGTGGTTGTAGCAGTGGATGTAGGGAATATCCTTCCCTACCTTCTTCTGCAGTAAGGCCTGAACCCCACCCCTGACCCTACTCATGACAGAAGCTCCATCATAGCACTGACTGATCATTTTAGCTGCACTGTAGTCAGTCAGAGAGATGCTCAAGAATTTGGGTGATAATAAATTCGGCATCTAACTGACCGAGGTCAAGCAGACCGATCAGGTGTTCTTCTGGAATGCCATTACAGACAAATCTAACCATGACTGACTGATTCTCCACCTTGCATCTATCCCCAGTTCCATCACTTTTAATGCAAAACCCAGCATAATCTGCTTTGTCATAATTATCTTTGATCTTTTTTAATACCATATTTGCCAGTTTTTCAATCATTTCATTTTGTATGTTGTGAGACGTGTATTTTGCATTTTCTGGGATGTGCTTGTTTATTTAATTTAATTTGAAGTCTTTGGCCAGTGTGTAGTCGACCATTTTTAAGAACAGTCCTGCAGAGAAATCATCACCACTGGAGCTTTCCACACTGGTTCATTTACTGCTAGGAAATGAACTACTTCTCCATTCGTTTTTACGTAGTATGTTTTTCTCGATTTGAGTGGGACTTATTAAATTACCCATTGTTTCCCCTGTGGCCACTCTTTGGGACATTTCAGACCAGGCTTTTTCATTTTTTATGTGGCATTGACTTGATGCATGCTTTGTGAATCCCTTGTCCTTTTCCAGTGCTGTTTTCCAATTATTAAATCCTTGTTTTGTGAAAGCCAAATCCCTATCATTGTTCCCCCCAAACTTACGACATGGGAAACAAAAGCACGCATCCAGCTTTACTGAATATTCCAGCCATGGTCTCCCACGATACCAGGCAGGGCAAAATGAGTGCATGTTCTTCCCAAAATGGCGCTTTGGGAAAACAAGAGCGGTGGGTTGGGACGGTGCGCTACTGTTCAGGCCGGTGTCACCCACAGCGACGGCTGGGTTGGTAGCGACGGGGACAGCAGGAGGGGCTGCGGTGCTTGTGCAACTGGTTGTTCCACTAGTGCCCTAACACGAGGGTTGTGGCGAGTTGAGAAGCAGCAGCCGACCCCTTTTTCATCAAATCTTTTCAAATTTGGGATTTCTACATGTCATTGCATTTGGGGGGCAGTCACTATTTTTGGGGGGGCTTTGCCCCTCCTTGCTCATGCCTACATCCGGGCCCGACTTCAAAACTTTGAAAGATTACTTTCTCATGTTCAGGAAATTTTAAGTCTTGCAAGATGAACAAATCCTACTTTTTCCATCTTTTACTTCTTTTTAAAACACAGAAAGGTTTTATTTACCTGCAACGTTTCGTCAGCCTGACGAAGTTTGCAGCCGCAAACGAAACGTTGCAGGTAAATAAAACCTTTCTGTGTTTTAAAAAGAACTAAAAGATGGAATTAGAATTTCAACACAGCAAGACCACACCAAAGATGTTTAAAGAAAAATCCTACTTTTCTTTTTGAAATTCCTGCAGGTGAAATATGACTTACAACTCTTATTTCTCATGTGAGAGTAAACATCACAACAAAAGACAGAATTTCAGCGTCCATTTCTGGCCTAAAAGGCCCGGCTCTGGTTTGCTCTGCTCAAAGCAAAACCAGAAGTTTCTGACACAAACCTAATCTTCAAAGATGGGTCAAGGCCGCTCATGCTTTGCCCTTATCTAAACTGTTTCTACTTTCCACAAACTGTGTTTAAAGTTAGTCTAGTTTTAATTTGTTTAAACTTTTAAAACTTGACTCTCTTTCTTTTGTCTCTGAGTTAATACAAAGTGGTTACATAATCCCTGCAATAAAAAGTTCTAATCTTCTGGTTTAAATTACCCAAAGATCCATAAGATTGATTTCATAGTTCCTATGGAATCTCACATTTTATGGTTCATTAAATAATATGTAAATGTAATCATTACACTCTCCAGTTTGTTACAACTGTTATTACTGTCAGGTTCTTTAGTCCAGTCTTGCAGGTGTCACCAGGTGTTGGTGTGACACGTCAGCTGAAGACGAGGACCTCACAGAAGTTGCTAGACTTACCCGTTGCTAACGACAGCGGAGTGACCAAAGCGGTTGACATCCCTGTGCAGATCTGGCTTGGGCAGGACTCTCCACTCATCACAGGCTATGAAACAACAGCCATGTTTAATTATTGTTTTACTTATATCAAACATTCTGATTATCTAATAAATAAATGATTACAAATAATTTCATTCTGACAAAAATGACCTTGATAAACTTAATGGATTAATATTTGGTAAATAACATTAATAAATTATTACATTTAACCAGAAAGGAGCAAAGAGCATTAGTAAACACCAACATATGCTCCTACCGATATCGTAGGCGAGAAAATCGGCAGAAAAGCACTTGGCCCCGTTGCTGAGTGACGTGTCGTTGTGTGTGTTGCCACCAAAGACGAGCAGAGTGCCACTGAGGAGCACGGCTGAATGTAAGTACCGTGGAAAGCTGCTTTCTCTCAGAATGAACCTGGCAAATTTGCATGACAAGTGTGTCAGGGACAGCTGGAGAAAAAAGCCACACACAGTTTGTAGAGCATAATGCATGGTGAGAGCAGCACACGAGTCTGGTGATTTACCACGTCCGCGTGTTCATGTCGTATCTGTAGAGGTCGTCAACAAGGCCATATTTGTTGGCTGGCAGAGCTTTGTAGCCCCCATGGATGTAGATGCTGCCGCTGGCGCTGTCGTATGTGCTGCTGTGGCCGTATCCTCCCTGAGGAATGGCACCTTTTGTCTCAGGCACCAACCATATGTTAGACTCTAACAACAAAGCACACATGGACAGCTTTCACAAACAAGAAGACACTCCCTTTGCTTAAAGTTTTCATCCAACTCTGTAATGTAAAAATGTCATGAAGCGTTTAAGACTTTGCCAACACCTCACATGGTTTACACCAACAGGAGCTTTGCACTAAAGTCCTTCAAAATGAGGCAAAATTTGCAGAAATAATTAGAAATTTCACATTGAGGCTTTTTTCCAGGTGTTTTAAACAAATGGTTATATTTGAAAGGTGCATTTGGTAAGAATGGCATCGTGTGCCAGTTAGGGATCGCACCAGAAGATTCTAGATGACAGTACACAGTGGATAAAAAGTAGCTTGAGATATTTTCTGAGCCACAATTTTTTTTTTTTATTATTCACCATTGGCATTGTTGGCTCAACGTTAGCCTCTAGCCTTCTTTACTTGATATTAGAGTAAAACAAAAGGTTGCCGAGGCTTCTTAGGGGTACTAGAAATAACTTCTGGGCTACTTCTGTAAGTGGCGTTGATTCTGTCTACAACATTGCTGCTCTTTGACAGTTAATTACAAATGCCAGCACTGGGTTTGTGTTTGGCAACTCAGCACTCTCAAATATGATTGGCTCTGGAACCAGGAAGTATGGAGGTGGGACGGATTGTAAACAAATACTACGTCCCTCTTAAGCTTACAGAGAAAGAAATCTGTTTCAAAGTAACCTTCCTTCCAATTTGATTGAGACATTTGACTGTTTGTGATTATTTCTAGAGGACGGCCGATATATAAAATTTTTTCTATAGCAGCCAAAAATACTTTCAAAAGACGATAAAAAAAAAAAAAATCAGGCACCTGTGTGGCCAACTGCCACCACTACTAGACTGGAGAAAGGACCCGAAGGACCCCAACACACCTTTTTTTTTATGTTTTGAGTTTGTTTTATATTTGAAGTCAAATAAATATTAAGAGATTTATTGACTTATTAAATTTATATCGCACACAGTGAGAGTTCAGTTATCTTTCAGAATCAATATGCTGCTAAAACGTAAATATATCGGCTTTAGATATCGGCAACAAAAATTCTTGAAAAATCGGTATCGGCCTTTAAAAAACACATATCGGTCGGACTCTAATTACCTTTAAGTCAACTTTAGTAAGCAAATGTCCCTGAGTTACAACCAATTTACCGTTACAAGCACTCTAACAAAAATCCAAGCAGTTACAAAACCAGGTAAATACAACAATAAAATGTACGCATTTTCAAGAGGTTCATACACCCCTAAGGCCCAAGTTAAATAATTATTCCGACTATTTAGCTAAACTAAAAACAGCAAACTTTAAGTTGACTATATTCATTAGATTTTAAAGATGAAGCATAATGATTATTTCTTGTAATTAGTTTAGGAAATTGAGCTCAATCGTGTCATTAGAGGTATTTAATCCGTCCTACATTTGGCCAAAAACTCGACTTAAATAGGAAAAAAACTGAACCACACTTGTGTCATTTTTTTCATAAAAATTGAAACGTTTCAGATTTAAATTATTCAAACCCTTATATCTGATGGAAAATGGCTAACTAGTGATTTAAAAGCTGTTTTCAAGTTCATCCATTTTCATCAGACAGATAGATGGACAGATGTTCTCAGGTTTACTGACACTGTACTTTCGAACAATTTATTTTATGTACTGGGGACAAAAAATGAGCTCAGCGTTAAATTTAAAATTTCACCCCAACAATTGGTGCAAAGACATGATTGAGTTAACGTGACGCCAGAATCGTGCCTTATTCACTTCTATGAAATTGAACTAAGTTACTTCTGTATTAACATCATGTCTAGATGTGCGTTTCTAAAACTAATTTTCTGACAAAATCCCACAGAGGAAGCTACAGACTAAAGGCTGTAACTCACTCAAGTTGTACTCTTGAACGTTGCTGATGTAGCTGTAGATGGGGGAGTAGCCAAAGATGACCAGCATGATGGTCTCGCCGCTGCTCAGCTGGACGCAGTGAGCCGTGTGTCCCTCCACAGCATAGATCTGAGCTTGAGCCGGCGAGCCAACGACGGGGGTTCTCCGCTGCCACGTGCGACTGGGTATGTTAAACACCCACAGCTCCTCTGTCACGTTCCCCCAGCTGGCCTCTAGTTTCCCACCGAACATATAGATATCATCCTGAGGAGAGATTAGTCTGTTACAGAGGCATGCTGCGGGACAAAAGCTGATTCATCAACTTGGTGTTCAGTTCATTACGCCACATATTATAAATCATCAGCTAAATTTGCTTGAAGGTACGAAAGTTTTCTAAGCAGGCAGTGAGAGAATAAGCCTTTAGTTAGCCGTGTTTCTACTAATGACAGCAGATTTATTCACTTCAGTTTATGTAGTGGATGGTATTCATCCTGCTCTTTTATTTATAAAGCTGATAAATCACTATTTTCTTTTATTGGAAGGATTTTTGTTGAGACTTTCCTATTAAACCACTTTATATAGTACATGTAATGCTCATGCTCATAAATGATGATTAAAGCTCAAACAGATCATGTGAAATAAATGGAGAGTTTTGATTTTGATCAGATTAATGTATGAAGAAAAGCAATAAAATGTGTGTTTTCCTAAAAACATTTACTATCATTTGAGTTTTGTCTCAATAGATACAAATATTAGTAATTACTTCAACAGTTAATATATTTTTGAAAAGTCTTCCTGCTGCAACTGCAGCTGACACCACTGCTAATCACTCTTCATTAATACTATTGTTGTTAGCTTCAGGTTAAAACTTTGAATTTAATAATCTACCGGAGCAGCATTTTAATATTTTTGCAGCAAATCACAATTTCTGCAGAAGAATTTTCTACTGTTTATGGCTCAGGAAGCAGAGAACATCTTTGAGGCAGAAAAAGGCGTCCTTACACCAAACTCTCCATAGATATCGAAACTACGACCTGAGCAGATTAAGACTGGATTGTACCCACAATGTTTGACTTTGAACTCAGATGAAATTCTAATTTATATTCTGTTGCACCAAAGGTGAGACCTAGCTAAGATTGAATAAATGTTAAACCTGTCTTTTAAGATCAGTTTAAACCAACTTTACATGTAATAATATCTGTTGCAGCAGAGCTTTAAACCCAGTTTAAACTGTAATCTAGAATTAACGTTAAACTGATACTTGAGGTTGAACCTCTCTGGTGTTTCTTCCATCTTACTGAGCTAACCAGCCACACCTACCGGATCACACAACCCACAGAATGAAACTGTTGTCCAAGTTTAGATGGAGATATTCAGGACCAATTGAGAGTTAAGACTTATCTCAACATGTTATTGTGTTTATTGCTGACAGAGGAGCTAGTGCTGCACCTCAAAAAGGTTGTCGGGCTTGATGTGAGGGAGCCCTCTTGGCTAAAGCACTGCCGTTGTATGTTTATGTTTATTTATTTGGCAGACGCTTTTGTTCAAAGTGGCATGCAATTGTTAACCTATAGGGCATGTTATGATCGATGGGGGAAACCGGAGTCATCATGTTTCCTAAAAAGAACTACAACCTGCAAAAACGGCAACCCCGAGCATACTACATACTAAAGTAACTTCTGTCATTTATTTAGACACACCAGAATCTTCTATGTGAACGTCCAGCCAATCACGTAGTGTGACATCATCGGCAGGTGCAAATCCCAGAGCCCATCTGGAACCTACACCATCATTAACCGTTTAATTAGCCTTCATAATTAATAATATTGTATATTTCATGAGCCAGATTAAATGATCTCGTGGGCCGGATGTGGCCCAGGAGCCACCATTTGGCAATCACTAAAACTGAATATTTAAAAACTTATTTTTTCATCAAGGTTTATGTTTTATGTTTTTTGGGGGGGTGTCTTAATTCCTCAAATAACACTAGTTGTGGCTCATTGATGACTACAGTTGCTAGAGGAAATGACCCATTTCCTCCTTAAATTGTTTGAAACTCCTGTTTTGTGACATAGACTTTTCTCAGCAGCTAATTCTTCCTCACACCCATCTGCCGTAGGGTTTAGTGTCTCTGTGCTCAGATAGATTTGGGTTTGTCTGCGAGTTAGTGTGTGTGTGTGTGTGTGTGCGTGCGTGCGTGCGTGTGTGTGTGTGTGTGTGTGTGTGTGTGTGTACCTGGTAGGCAGAAAGTGAGTGGCCATATCTTGGCACAGGGCCACTACTGATAGGAACGGTGTTCCAAACGCCGCTCTCTAGGTTGTAGCTGCAGGAAACAGGAGGGGAAAAAACATCACAGTTCAAATCCATACCTCCTTGAAATGACACGCTGAACATATTTATAAAACACACAAAGCAGGGACTCACTTCATCCCTCTGTGACTGGATGTTTCCTACATGGTCTGCTGAGTTAATTACAGCAAATAAACGATAGCACGGCCCGTTGCGCCTCAAGCTACATTTCAGTTTTCCTGTCTCAAACAAAGCTTTTGTTAAGCTGCAGCCTCTGCACAGTGCTGAGCACACACAACTTGCAGTTTGTAAAAGCAGGACCACCTGGTCACATCAACACTCAGTTATTTATACAAGATTCTGTTGGAGCATCAGAATTATCCCATCTGGTGATGAACACACTGAGCAGAGAGAGAAAGCTCGTCTGAGCAAAAGCAGGACTTGTGTTTACTCTTACTTTTATTCAAATTAAGCAAAAATCACCACATTCTAAATCCTTTTCCTCATTAGTGTCTAAACCTCTACAATCCAAAAATGTTGGCTCGCACACCGTCTCACGTTTGGAATGGTTCTGTGCTAATTGTCTGGCGACACTAGTAGTGTTTTACAGAAAAAGTCACAACAATCAGCAGCAACACCCAGATGAGTGAAAGGATAAGAAGCGGGTTGAGGAAATCCTCGTCCAAACCAGATGATGCTAGCAGCTGGTTCTGTTTGATTGTGTCGCACACTTAACAAGCTCAGCGTCTTGCATCGGTCAGCTGGTTTCCCTCAGTCTGATCACGTTATTACAGGTTTGCAGGAGTTGTTTTTATGTAAAACTCATTGTAAAAAAGGGTTTTACATTCAGCTGAAGGAAGAAATTAAGAAAACTTTTCATGTGTGTTCTATTGATCCAAATTCTTTTAACACCTTCTAATTTCAGAAATCATTTCACATCAAACCATATTAGGATGTCCTTTCATTTTTAGATGGAGTTTGTTTTATATGTTGTATTTGTTGCTTAAATTGATCTGTACGTGGAAAATTCCAGCTAAAAGATTATCTATATGTAATGAATAAAAAGGGTCAATTTTCACCATCGAATTGACACAGCATAACCTTTCATGCACACCAGAACTGCAAAGTCAAAGTTACGGCAGCTGGAGGATTCAGACGCACAAATCATCCTTTTGTTCACTCATTGTTCTTCAACGCAGACATAAATAAACTGTCGTGGTCTCACCAGACACAAAAGTCTTATCTCAGACTGCTGGATACCTCACTCTGAATAAAAAGTGAACTTTTACAACTTATAAGTTAAATAATCATATGTGATTAATGAACAAGATGTTTAAATAATCTGTGCTTAAATCAATGAATTTTAAATGAATATTGTTCTTACAATGATCCATTTATATCACAAATCAGTATGTGTTCGATTTAACAAGTTCATCATTATCATCTACATTCATACACATCTTCATAAGATACAAATTAAGGTTAAGGTTCATCTCACATTTTGTATCTGAAGGAAGACGTGGCTTTCTGAGGAATGTTTTGGTAAAGCCTTCCACACATGGCACGTTCAGATTTGCCAGAATGGCCGGAAATCATAACATTGTGGTTTAATAAAACAGGATTTAATTCCCGCTTAATTCAGTTTCCAGCTGACCCCCGATTAGGCCAAACTGGGAAAGAAGCCTCTTTTGAAATCATCTTCTTTGACCTTAAGTCAAAACCTTTCTGCGACGCTGCAAGTGATTACAGACACAACAGCTCTTTTCAGAGCTACTTCAACTCAGACATCCACCTTGGACACCTAACCTGCAGACCCCGGGTTGCATCTCATGGCCGGGGAAGCTGAACTCAAGAGGAAGATACTAATCTCTGAGTATTGTGGTTTTGATGTCCGGTGACCTCACCACTCTGACCGCAACCCTCCAGACCGCCGGGAGCAACTCATACCAGGGTATCATATGCCTGCATCCTGGTGTCTGATGAGGTTTATAAATAAACAACTCTCTAGTTTATAACAAACAACAAATTACGTAAAAACAACAAAATCTTACATTGCCAAAACTGGCTTTACTGAATTTATACACCAAGATTCCAATTCTATTCATAAAAGACAGTCAAGGTTCTTCTGTTTATCGCTGCATGACTAAAAACAAAAATTATAAATCGTTTTAAACGAAGAGCTTTTTAGCACGAGTAACAGACACAGATGCTGCTAAATCAAAGCAGATTAAACGTGACTTACTTAAGGATCATCTGGAACGAGCTGTAGTTAAACGTGTATCCACCCACCACCCACATGACCTTTTCCTGCACCACGGCCTTGTGGGAAGCTCTGGCGAGGGAGGTGCCAAAGGGCTTGACGCTGGGCAGGACCCAGAAGGACTCGGTTGAAGGTACAGTTAGTGTGCAATCTGGGCCTGCAGAAACAAGAAGTGAGAGCATTACAATTGGAAATGAAACCAGTACAAAAGCAATAAAGCAATTTTTTAAACACAAGCAGCTGAATTTTCTTGTTTTTATAAAGCATTCAGTAGTGACTTAAAAACAATGTTCCTACTTTAGCTAAAACGACAAAAAGGATAATGAAGCATCTCTGAAAGCCGTGGAGGACAGCATGCATCCGCTAAAGCGTCTGTCATGTTTCATCATGCAAAAGCATTAGTTTCCTCCAGCTGGAAACCAAAATAAGGCACAGACATATTGAAACATCACCAGTCTGTATTACAGTGAGACTTAACACAACACAGATGTTTGAGCTTGCCTGATAACACCCTCTTCATTATGTCATCATCATCATCATCATCATCATCATCACGGGAGAGGTGATGTTTTCATAAAGACTGGCTACAGAAGTGTTGCAAACACATTCTAAGATTCTTCTACAGCCAGCCATAATATTATCACCACCAGCTAAATTTTGAGTAATTCCTCCTTTTCTTTACAAAACAATAAAACAACTATCGCCAAAGAGGTATGGGCTTCACTAGACCACTTAAAGGATCCAGATAATGCTATTTTAAACCTTTGAGGGCAAATAAAGCATTACCCTTGGCACTAATGAGATGTGTATTGTCTTAAATATGAGTTATTTTTGTCGGGCTGAATTTATACCTGGAAATGAAATCGTTTGTTTCAGTGAAACTCCGCCCATCCCCACTCCGACAAAACACACCTACAACACTGTCTGCTGTTGTATCGGTCTTGGCAATCCAGCTGTTTAAGCGCCTGCCTTTTGTCTCGTTTTATCATGTACTGACACCGGTTCGACTCCCGGTGTCTGCAGTAAGTTATTTAGCCAGCTGAAGCAGATTTCATTTAGTTTTATTGATTATTTTCTGCAAAATATGTTGTGTCTCTAAAGATCTTTGAATTGGGTAATTTCCTAACATTTTTGTGGATTTACTCTGCTCACCTCACATGGACTCACACTGGCTAAATAAACAATGGGAAAAAAACAGACCAGTCCTTATATTTTACACAATTTACCAATAAAGGGTTGAAAACATAATACTGGCACGTGTAGTAAAAAAGAAGGAAAAAATGTTGCTGCTGTGACCGAGAGGTGAACCTGCGCAAAACTACATGTCAGTCTGGAACTCCAACCACTGGACCACCAAGTCTTTTACAAAACAATGGTCGCCTAACACACATATCCTGTGCAGGTCATTACATGTGTCTTTGTAGACAGGATGCATGGTTTATATGGTGTTTTGTCCCCGATGCAGAAGTATTTTGTCAGAATATCCAGGTTTCAGAACCAAGACCAGACCAGCTTCAGAGAGAGGAGAAATGCCTGATGGTGCAAGTGGTTTTCATTCAGGCGTTTTCAGATTTTTACTCTACAAGTAAAACTCTACATTGGCAACTGATACAGGAAAATGCATAAATGCAGCCAAAATCAGGTTTGGGGGTGGTTTTCATGAGGAAATAACATCACATGGTAAAAAGCTCTAAAGTGGATTTTCCATGATATGGCCCCTTTAAAGTTTGCTGAGGCGTTTTGTAATAAATTGTCTTTTTTCCTAACCTGTCCATGTTCACAAAATATAGAATACTGATTTCTATCCAGAAGATCTGCTGAAAAAGCTTTTCATACATCTCTATATATCTCTGCTGGCTGCTACAGGTCCTTCTCAAAAAATTAGCACATTGTGATAAAGTTCATTACTTTCTGTAATGTACTGAAAAACATTAGACTTTCATACATATTAGATTCAAAAGTAGTTCAAGCCTTTTACTGTTTCTAATATTGATGATTTTGGCATGCAGCTCATGAAAACCCAAAATTCCTATCTCAAATAATTAGCATTTTTCATACGACCAATAAAAGAAAAATGTTTTTAATACAAAAAAAAGTCAACCTTCAAATAATTATGTTCAGTTATGCACTCAATACTTGGTCGGGAATCCTTTTGCAGAAATGACTGCTTCAGTGTGGCGTGGCATGGAGGCCATCAGCCTGTGGCACTGCTCAGGAGTTATGGAGGCCCTGGTACTTTAAGACAGAGAAGAAATTATCTCTGTCTGGCCCCAAAACAATTTCTTATCTGAATCTGGTGCCCTTGAGCCTGTGAGGCTGAAACGAACATTTTGGCATTTCCCTCTGCCCAGTCTTCCTCCAGACTCTGGCACCTTGATTTCCGAATGACATGCAAAAGTTGCTGTCATACGAAAAAAGTACTTTGGACCACTGAGCAACAGTCCAGTGCTGCTTCCCTGTAGCCCAGGTCCGGCGCTTCTGCTGCTGTTTCTGGTTCAACAGTGGCTTGACCTGGGGAATGCGGCACCTGTAGCCCATTTCCTGCACACGCCTGTACACGGTAGCTCTGGATGTTTCTACTCCAGACTCAGTTCACTGCTTCCGCAGGTCCCCCAAGGTTTGGAATTGGTCCTTCTCCACAATCTTCCTCAGGGTCCGGTCACCTCTTCTCATTGTGCAGCGTTTTCTGCCACACTTTTTCCTTCCCACTGTAACGATGGGTCGTTTACATCTTACTTATGAATCATAAAATGTAAGATTCCATAGAGATATGAAATATCAATCTGATGGATCTTTGAATATTTTAACCAGAAGATCAGAACTTTTTATTGCAGGGATTACGTGACACTTCGTATTATCTCTGAGGAAAGAGAGAGAGTCAGGTTTATAATAGTGAAGAAATGTATTTCTACACAATTTAAACAAGACTAACTTTAACACTCTGTGTACTGATGGACTAGGTGGAATGAGAAGTGAGATGATGGTGTATGTGTGGAATGTTGCTATCAGAACCAGCGGATCCGGAGAAGCATTTAGTTCTGAGTGGGAGTGAATGTTTCGCTCTAAACTATAGTTGAAGATTTATAACACGCATGAGACGCCATCTGTCGGTCTACGTACCCCAGGGGAAGCCTCCGTTTAGATCCAGAATGTCGAGGTCCTCTTGGACCCTCCTTGGAACCGAAGCCGGTAGAAAAGCAGCGGTGCAGACCAAACTAGTCTGGGAATGCTTCCAGGCCACAACAGGTTCATTGGCGTCAGCGAGACCCTGAAGGGGTCGTGAAGTTCAGCTTTTATTCTGAAGGAGCCGTTGCGGTCAGGTGTCACTTGTTACAGATTTTATCCAGCTTGTCGAGGTTCTTTTGGCTGAAGAGGAAGTCCGGATGGTCTGTCCGAGACTTCTCTAGAACGCTTTGAACTAAAGAAAACGTTGCGTGGAATAGTTTTTATACTTGTCATATTTTTGGTTTACTGGCAAATCAGAACTTGACGTGCAAAAAAAAAACACGCCTTGCATCAGAAACGAAGGCTCTGATTGGATCAGACAAAAGGAAATGTGTCGTGTGACTTTAGCATTACGTGTCATCAGTGTCTAGTGCAAATGTCCAATATTATAATTACTTGTAAAATACTACTGATCACAGGGTTATAATATCAAGTAATAACATTGTTATTTCACAGATTGAATATTGGGCTCACATTATTATTGGTAATAACAAAGTTGTTTGATCATGTGTTTATCAAAAGAGTTCTTTGTCTTCGTCTTGAGCTGTAAAAGGTGACGCAGTTCCGATGAGCAGAGGGCATGAAAGACCTTGGCCAATGTCTCATGTAGATTAGGCCTGTGTCAGAGACCTTATGTCTCTGCTCGAGCAGAAGCAGCAGATCATGACCTTTAGGTCAAAAACAGGACATTCATGACGCTACACCACAGACTTCCCACTGAGGTGAGGTGCCTATTCATTCCGAAATGTCTTTCTGTGTCTTACGCTCTTGCTTGAGGGTGTCAATGATGGCCTTCTGGACAGCAGTCAGGTCGGCAGTCTTACCCATGATAGCGGTTTTGAGTAATGAACCAGGCTGGGAGTTTTTAAAAGCCTCAGGAATCTTTTGCAGGTGTTCAGAGTTAATTAGTTGATTCAGATGATTAGGTTAATAGCTCGTTTAGAGAACCTTTTCATGATATGCTCATTTTTTTGAGATAGGAATTTTGGGTTTTCATGAGCTGTATGCCAAAATCATCAATATTATCAAAATCAGAAAGAATTTTATTGCCAGCGCTCCAGCGATCCAGAGCATAGGAACTTGACTCCAGAGTACAGCCAGACCAAGATTACACACACACATATAGACAGGACAGATACAGGCAGACCGCGAGAGCAGCCATAACGGCACTCATTTCAGTAGATGAAGAGGGGATTACATGAGGAGAGTTAGGGGAGGGAGAAAAAAGGCATTAACAGAGCTACACCGGCAGGGTGTAGCTCTACTATGCAAAAAAAAAACACCCAACATACAAGCACAAACGTCACAATTCACAACTTGAGACCCGGTAGGTAGGGGGGAGGGGCTGGGACCCAGGTTTCCTCAGCGGGAGCAGCCTGTGTGGCGCTCGGCCAACTGAATCCACAGGTGGGAGGGAGGTCACGGGAAAGCACAGAGCACAGCGAGTGCCTCCAACTTGATGACCTCGGTGATGAGACCACAATCTGAAGGCGGGGAGGGGTAGGTAGGGTTTTCACAGCATTTGTCTGCATTCCTTCCATCGTGGGGGTTTTTGCACACAACTCCAAGGCTGCTTATGGTGTCAGATTCGATAACAAGACTTTGTTTGGGTCAGGCAGAGACAATTTTACTCTCTGCCTTAAAGTCTGCATTGATCATTCAAATCCTCCAGTGAAGCCAATTCGGTGATTAAACATCTCCACACCGTCCGGTGACCCTCTCCGAGATGACATCCAATTTGCGCACTAACACCAGTAACGCAGCTAAGACATTGTCCAGCTTGCGATTCACCTCGAAATAACATCCCAGTCTGTGAGGTCTCCGCCCGGACGGTGCCGTCCATAGATGCGGGTCGCCCTCCAATCGCTCCCGTCATCCCAATTTTACAGAAAACCAGATATCCTCCCATTCCAATCAGAAGAAATCCAGTGATCATCAGGCCAAATATCCACACATCTTCGACGTCCTCAATTGACAGCTGAGAGAGACTGACGACATTCCACTTCTTCCAGGAATCGAGCATATATCCCGCTGCATGTGTCCCGTGAGGACAAGCGCGAGCCCCCTCCTCCGTTAGAAACAATAAAAGGCTTTAGCTACTTCAGTTGTGTGTAATGAATCTAATATATATGAAAGTCTAATGTTTATCAGTACATTACAGACAATAATGAACTTTATCACAATATGCTAATTTTTTTAGAAGGACCTGTATATAGAGCCTTAGAAATGTCTCCAAATCACTTGACTGTAGAAAAAAGAAAGAAAGCACTGACTCCCACCTTGCCAGCTGTCGTTGCAGACACACAGCTTCTCGCCGGTGAGGTCGCAGTAGCCGTGGTCGGGGCTCCCGCAGTTGTTCCTGCAATAGGGGATGCCGCAGTCCTCACCTTTCCAGTACTTATCACACTCACAGTACACTCTGCTGGCAGCCGAGTTTCCTGGTGTGCACTTCCCATGACCGGAGCAGTTATTGGGACAAGAGTTTATCCTGAAAATAAACGCAGTTCTCTTTTAGCTGATTTAAACACAGACTAGTAATCTGTTAGTGTAGTTGTAAGGGTGGCTCAGTTATAGAGAAAAAAAAATCCTAAACATGGTTATTTAACATGATAACTCAAAGAGTAAGGAAACACGCCTCCTCTATTACTCCCCTTTAGACAAAAGCATAGAGAAAATATGTGACTCATCAAAATGAGCGCATGCAGTGACACCCACAGCAATGGGTTATTTATTATGGTCTGCATGGATTTTACCAGTTTCCCAGCCTTCTAAAACCTTATATACCTTCAAAATTATTTGATTTAATCACCAATGGACTTGGCAAGACATTTTATAGCAGAGGTTTTCTGATTATGTGGCGTAAAATATCCAGAGTTCATGTTTTAAGGAGACCGGCATTACTCATTCACATTTATTTGTTCAGCAGGTGGAAGATTTGTGTTTAGTTTCCTTATTAAAGCAAAGCTGGCAACAACACTGGAGCGCCACTGCTCCATCTGGTGCATTCAAAAGTAAAACTTCAACATTTACCACACTAAAATCAGTGAAGACTCACATAAAAATGTCAGGCCTGTTTAGAACAGGAATTAAAAGAAATAATCAGTAACATTTAGAAATTACTTTAAAACACACGTAACTGACAAATAATGAAACAATTGATCAGTCACATGAAGAAATCACGGGACACGAGTGCTGCCATAAAGCAGAGCAACGCTGCTGTCCAAGCAGATGGGGTTTGGCTGCATACGTAACGTAATAAAAAGCTTTTCCACTAGTGAAATGGAACCATATGGAGACATTTATATATATGCTCTATCACAGAATGTGTGCGAGTCATCTTTTGAAATAATGGAGGCATATTTTTGATGAGTATCATATGCACCCGGTGTACCCTTGTATATGTGCTGACTATTTAAAAATACCACCACAAAACACTGGAAGTTTGACCTTCTTATGCTTTATAAGATGGCATGAAATACTGAGTGCATGTTTGCGAAGTGGAATGTGACAAAATAATTTTATTGATATGTTTTTGTTGTTGACTGCATCATTGGCAGACCAAATAAAAACTGTTATACTACTTCAATAAATTGCACAGCCTTATGAGCAGGCCTTTAAAGAGGAACTAGGTAGTTTTGGCTTGCTTTTAGCACCCCCTAGTGTCCATTTGTAGAACCGAAAGGAAAACGTATCTCCACGCTGTGCATTGGTCTTTTTAACACTTTAATCTAACAGCTGAAATGTCTCCCGAGCCTTCCTTAATGTCTACATGAGTGATTCATCACTAAATCAAACACATCAGCTGTGTTCATGATCTAAAACATGCAGGAAACATGCTGAAACCAGACTGCAGCACCTGGTATGTCAGTTCAATATTTTAGGTCCTAAAGAAGCAACCTGCAGGACGAAGTTGCAAGTGGGATATTCTGGCCACAGGGGGCGATAGGGGCTGGGTGGCCTTTCATTTACCCTGTAAAGCACAGGAGTCAAACTCCAGTCCTCGAAGGCCGTTATCCTACATGATTTAGTGTTTTCCCTGCTTCAACACACCTGATTTCAATCAGCAGGTGATTAACAGGCTTCTGGAGAGGCTTATGTGTTGCTGCACAGGTGAATCAACTGAGTTGGAGCAGGGAAACAACAAAAAGATGCAGGATACCGGCCCTCGATGACTGAAGGGTCATTGTAGCACATCCTGGCTCAAGAAATCTATTTAAGAAAATGAAAAAGTTGCAAAGTATCCCTTTAATCGGGATGGATCAAATAAAGCAGAATTTAGTTTTTAGACAATAAAGATTTTTTGTAACAAAAAACTGACTTGCATTTATAAATATGTTTAGAAGATGTCTCCTACCCATAAAAAGTCAGCATTTTGTTTTTTTTTTTTCTTTCATGAATTCATTGAGTATTTAATCTAAGATACTTACGAGTAAAAAATTTCAAATCCTGTCAGATTATAGGCTGCATCGCTGAAAAAGTGTAATAGCGCATAGCCTGAAGTTGTCTCCACCTCAGGAACCGTCTCATTACCTCGTATCTCCGGTACGATAAGGCCGCTGTAGAAATACACACAAAACGCAACGACATGACTTAACTAAAACTCATAAACAACAGAAACAGACACAGACATCATCTATGAATGATAACACTTAAGATTTACAATAAAACTGAATGTAATGAATCTTCTGTAAGTGCCTGACGTAAACAGGAGCCATGTGTTTTAGAGATTCTTACCTGAAAACTGCAACCAGAGGAGCATAAACCGAATCTCCGTCATAGATGTACAAATGGTCCCAACTACATTCTGTAGCAAAGTGGTTGAATCGTAACCGCAGGACTGCATTTGGACTAAAGGGAGAGAAAAAAAACAAGGGTTTCTGTTTCATGGATGAATATTTAAATCTTTATTTGGTTCATTCGCATCAAAGCAGGGCTTTGTCCAACCTGAACTGTAACCTTTATCCATCTGATGGGTATTATTTGTACTTTTACATTTCAAGCTAGTTGTGATGAACATGAACAATTATAATTTTATTACTGATACATTTGAGGGCAAAGACCATCATGCAAATAAAAATAAATAAGGTCTATTCTGAGAAATTTTAAAATGTTAGTTTCTTCATAAGTTCTGAGCATCACTTCAATTTTTGGCTTTTATTTTTTTATTTAAATAACCTTGATGTCGTTATCGATGCAGATGAGAAGTTGTGCAAGATTCTAGAGCAGGGGTGCCAATTCTGTTCGTGGAGGGCTGCTATCCAGTAGGTTTATTTTCCCTGCTCCAACACACTAGATTCAGTGGTTGTATCACCTGTGCAGCAGCTCATCAGGCTCTGCAGAAGCCTGTTAATCACCCGCTGACTGAAATCAGGTGTGTTGAAGCAGAGTTAAAACTAAAACCTGCTGGATACCGGCCCTCCAGGACCAAGATTGGGCCCCCCTGCTCTAAGCCACATAAATATCTTAAATTTATAAAGATATCAGGAACTAGAGTTCAATATCGTGCTATTTTAAGCCTTTGAGAACAAAAGGTACAATATATGATAAAATCTTACCGTTGGCACTATTTATCTTAAATAAGAGTTATTTACGTCAGTCTGAATTTATACCCGAAAATAAAACGCTTTGCTTCAGTGAAACTCCGCCCACGCCCGCTATAACAAAACATGCCTACAACAGCATATTAGGCGAGTCAGTAGCTTTATTGGCTATGGTGGACCAGTGGTGTAGTGTCCAACCTGGCACTCAAACCATTGGACTACCAAGTCTGTTAGATGACATCAGTCATATCCTGTGCAGGCCAGGGGAGACAGGTTTCAGACCAGAGACTAGCTTCTGGGAGAGGAGCAGGGCCTGATGACGAAATATGTTTCCCACGAGGCTTTACAGGATTTTCAAATTAAAACTCGAAATTTGCAGCTGAGACAGGAAAATACATGAATGCAGCCAACAAGGGATTTAGGTTTTTTTTTATGAGGAAATAACAAATATCACGATAAAAAGCTCCAAAAAGTGGATTTTCCATGATATGACCCCTTTAAAAAGATTGTAAATGATGGCTGAGTTTGAGAAAAGCCTCAAAAGGTAGGGCAGGAGCACGCAACTCAATAAATAACAAAGTTAAACCTCCAAAATTTTTGTTATATTTGGTCATTCAAGGAAAATGTGTGTGCCTATTTCTAAAAAGAGTCTTAAGCAGCTTGCTGGGACTACTTTGATAAGTACTTACTAGGCTTCAATAAGCCAGGTGCACTTGGTTTTGTACTTGTAGTTGATGGGACCATCGGTGAGGTATCCTGAAGGTTCCGTCAATCTGGAACACCAAAAATAAATAACCATTATGCCACAGACTTTCAACAGAGAAAAGTATAAACTCTCAACTGCTCAGTGGGAGGAAGTGATGATTCAGTAGTGATAAGTGGAGGATTTAGCTGGTAGCCATTTATAGCCATTGAGGAAGAGGTCACTTCAAACGTGAGTGGCTTTTATCCAGTGATGAAATATTTTCATCCTGCGGGAGCACTCCGGGTTTGGAGCCCAAAAAGCCTGAGCCCTTTTAATTCTTCAAACAATAGTTAACTACTGTGGGTAAAATTAACATGAGTCTGTCACACATTTACAATTAAGAGACATATGAACTTGGCTAGCATTTGTTTATTAACCCTTTAATGAGACGCTAAAGAATACAGAAATAGAACATGTTCGTTTTTGCATTTTAGGTCATTTAGAGCGATAGGTGGTTTAAGATGTTAAGTAATATTAATGTGATCATTTTTAAATAAGGCAATAATGCTGAAAATAATGATGTTTTCTCTATCATATTTAGAATTACCATACACATAAGTTCAGTGCATGCTTTAATGAAAAGCAAAACACAAATTATTCGTAGAAAAACACCACAGTGGTGTTTCATATTTGCCAACCTTAAAATCCTCCACTAGATCAAGCAACATTTGTTGTTAATGAACATTTTTCTTTCCTTGAACTTTCATAGGAGTCAGCCTTGAGGTAGACAAAGCTGGTATTTGTTAGAATTAACCCTATTTATGTTCACTTGTTGGTCCAACAAAAGCAAAGTTTCATTTTTGGGGTCCTGATTTATGACATGACTGTGCTCACCCAACACAAGGCGGCTGACAGAATTATGGACTAGATAAATGGCCTGTATTTGATATAGCACCTTCTAGAGTCCTGGAACCCCCCAAGGCGCTTTACAACACAATCAGTAATTCACCCATTGACACACACATTCACACACTGGTGGGGATGAGCTACGATGTAGCCACAGCTGCCCTGGGGCGCACTGACAGAGGCGAGGCTGCCGAGCACTGGTGCCACCGGTCCCTCCGACCACCACCAGCAGGCAACGTGGGTTAAGTGTCTTGCCCAACGACACAACGACAGCGACAGACTGAGCGGGGCTCTAACCTGCAACCTTCCGATTACGGGGCGAGCACTTGACTCCTTTGCCACCGTTGCCCCCTAGATAGGCTGTAGCTATGATTATCTGATGGTATTAAGTCTTAATCTGACACTAAAACATCCCACAATGAGACATTATGCATGGGCCTACCAACCGTTTTAGGACTATATCTAATTTTTATGTTGCTTTGATTACATAAACATAGTTTTACCTCTGAATTGAACACCTGGGTGGAGAAAAGAAGCTGTAAAAAGGGACATGGTACTAATTGTACTGCTATACAATGACTCACTGTTTACCATAAATAAATAAATAAATAAAGATTGATTGTCCATGTTGCTACAATGTCTGAGCAACAAAAGCGCTCTCTACTTCATGTGTTCCAGGAGTTTAAATTTCATCATGTCATGCCATGGCTGAACAGCTCCGTCTCTTGCCGATGGGATTTTATTTCACAACGCGTCAAAGCTCACATGCTCACACATACACACACGCTCACACACACACACACGCTCACACACACACGAGAGAGAGAGAGAGAGAGAGAGAGAGAGAGAGAGAGAGAGAGAGAGAGAGAGAGAGAGAGAGTTGCCTCTGTGCCACTGAAGCCTTTAAACTGCTGCTGAGGTGAACATTGTTATATTTTATTTATTGTGTCATTGCAGTCTTGTTTCTGCCTTTAGTGCTTCCAACACAAATCTTCCCACACATGTCATAAACAGAAGAATGAGCCAATAACAGAATCACCTTGAGAGTGGAAGGGTTTATGTAAAACCTGGTGGATTACAGATGTTTCCTCAAAGCCACTCTTTTGTCGTGAAAGCAAAATGAAACATTTATTTGGGGATTTTATTGAGATTATTTTCAAAAACTGAAGAACTTTAGAGGTAGTATACCAGTAAATACAGGAGACATGGAAAATGTGTTCTTGTACAGAATAACTCCCTCCCCTCATTTATCAGGAGATCTCATAATGAAATACATTTCTTGACTTCTTGCATTGTTATCCACAATAGATACTAGAAAAGTACACAGGACTGAAGAAATACAAGTGACTAAAGAGCAATGAGATTAAAAAAATACTTGTAGGTGTTCTGTTATGTTTTGTTACCCAAAGAATAAATCAGAACAGGAAAAAATAATGAGATCAACAACTAAAAAATACCCACTTGCATATATTAATGCATGCACTGACATGCACAGCTAGCACATTAAACAATGACACCCACGAGTGAGGTGAAACATGGATCACTTCCCCTTAAAAATAAATGTTAACATGTAACTATGTGATGCTTTTGTTGTTTGAGTCTCACTCGATACCACTCCGATGCAAGATTCAGATCAACATTTTACATTCTGAAGGCAAAATCTTTAAGGAAATTAGCCTTTTTCACAAACAACTTTACAATTAGACTGTTTGTGTGAAATTCAACGACACGTTTAAAAAAGTACAAGCATGTTTGGCAGAGATGGTCACTAGTCCTTTTTCTAAGTCCAAATCAAGTCACTCATGAGCCTTAAGTTTAGAGGATGAAAAAGTCACAACTTTTTAGGGGGGAGTCCAAATCAAGTCAGGAGTCTTTGGCAGGCATGTCATAAGTCATTAGAGAAATCAATTTGCAAGTATTTGGGTGTCATTTTAAAGTCAAGTCACAAGTCTTTGGAAAGCAGACATGTCTTTAAAAGGGTAGTCAGATTCAAGCCTGTCATTAGATGCTGATTTCAAGTCAAGACTGTGGTCTTTAGATGGTCAGTTCAGGTCAAGTAACAAGGCTTTGTCTTTCCAATGAAGGTGAAACTCAAGTCTCCGTTTATGACTTTTCACCATCAATGGAAAATCAACTACAGGGTCCCAGCTGATGACTACAGGTAACCATCAGACTCACACCTCAGACCGCTGTATGAAATGTGAGGTTTTTACTCCATAGCTCGGTTTAAATTGGAGTATCGGATTGAGGCCACTTACTTGAACCTTCCCTGGCAGTGCTGGCAATGATCTCCGACCCATCCACGGTCACACACGCAGGAGCCGTTCACACATTTCCCCGACAGACAGTTCTTGTCACAGGACTTCGCCGGCGAGGCGTGAGTCAACAGTACAAAGGAAAACAAAACATACGCCACCAAGTATTTGTTGATCCCCCTCGGATCGCTGATGGTGGTGGCTAGTTTGGGTCCAAAACAGGGTAACGTGCTCCTATATTTCCCACCAGGATCCATAGTTTGGTGTGCCTTTTGGTTTTTACTTCCAGGGAGATCCGACCTGAGCAGAAAGCCGGGGCCTTGAGACCCGCTTTGGGAGCAAGCCTCAGACTATTTCCGTTATAAACAAGGAGTTCTGCATATTCTTTCAGAGTTAGACATGCTTCATTTAAGGCTTAGCTAAGTCTGATTACAAAGCGTAAATAATTATTTACGTCTTCCCTAAAGCGTGTGGGTTAACCGCATGCATAGATCTGAAGCAGGAGGAATCTCCTGCACACTACCTCTTGCTGGAAAGACCTTCCTAAATATCCCAACATCAATCAACGCCTCTCGCGCAGCTAATCCATCATTTGTTAGCCAAAGTAGCTTATAGGAAGCTTGGCCTTGGCTGTGCGATATCAACTTACTGCGTTGATTTAATACCATTCTCCTCCTAGTGCCATTTCAGCAGCCATTTTAATGCGTTAACGGTGCTTCATACCGACTACGGCGGAGACCGGAGCTTACGGTGGTCGTTAATACGAGCTGCTGCGGTTTAACCGGATCGTGCCCATACACAAACAAAGAGGTCGCGACGTTTGAAGACCCGGACTCAGAAGCAGGCTGCCGCAGTCAACATGGATGTGGTGGTGGGGTGATGAGTGAGCTGGAGGGCTCTTTGCCCTTACTGACTGGGGGGTGCACAGAGCAAACACTCTAACTGTTGTTAGCTAGTCTTCACGGTGGGTTAAATGTCCTCAAACGAAGCTTCCAAGGACGGGTGTCATCTTCTTACTACTCCGAAGGGGGAAAGTCTCCTTTAACATGAAAACAACAGGCAGCGACCGCTTGGCTAGCGCAGCAGCGACAGACAGCTCCTCAGGTTGGAGAAAACTAAACACAACCTGCGCATGCGTAGTCGAACAGTCACCTCTTAAAGGTACAGTGCTAAGTATCATGGTTGTTCAATGCGACTTTATTAAAGATAAATAAAGTCATTTGAAGTTAAAGCTGTTATAGCGAATCTGCAAACAAGCTTGGGTTTGACCATAAACTCAGCTATGGAACACTCACTCCTCCCCGCTGCCGGTGGTATGTCGATATGAGTTCCCCTGGTGGAGATCTGTTTCTTTTCTATACAGCTGCCAGTTCGAACTGTCCACTCACAAAAAATAACCCTCACAATAACTTGGGGGAGCCAAATCCTGTTCCTGGGCCAGTATCCAGCAGGTTTTGTGGTTTTCTTCTCCAACACACTTGATTCAATGGTTGAATTACCTGTGCAGCAGCTAAAACTAAAATAAGATCCAATCCAATCCAATTTTATTTATAAAGCGCATTCACAAGGCATTACAACCAAACAAGGCGCTGTACACTAAAAATGTTGGTTAATTAAACAGGCGTTATATAAACATGTCGAACACAGATAAAAGATAAAAAGGAAATACAACAAAATTCCCAAAGATAACAGCTAAAAATCATTAAGACACAGGGTGAAGTAAAAATAGGGAAAAAAAAAACATTTTACAAAGAACCTCAATAATACGGAAGTCGATAATTGTGGAGTCAGTTTATAAACAGTGCAGATGTCAGTGAGGTTCATAATTTTGTTGTACAAGCTAGGTTGAAGTAGTGAGTTTTCAGGCGTGATTTAAAAATGCTAGCTGTTGGTGCTTGCCTCACTAGCAGTGGTAATGCGTTCCACAGCTTCGGTGCACAGACAGAGAAAGCCCTCTCTCCACAGCTTTTTAAACGTGCATTGGGAACAGCTAGGAGGAGCTTATCTTCAGACCTGAGAGCACGCGGCGGGTTGTAGTAATGGACAAGTTCACACAGATATGGAGGAGCTTGATGGTTCAAGGATTTGTAAGTGAGAAGCATAATTTTGAAGTTTATCCTGAACTGCACGGGCAACCAGTGGAGAGATTTCAGAATTGGAGAAATGTGTTGTCTTCTGTCAGCTCCAGTCAGCAACCTAGCTGCTGAATTCTGGACCAGCTGAAGTCTAGAGGGAGCTGCTTTACTGATGCCATATAAGCAGGAGTTGGAGTAATCCAGCCTTGAGGTGATAAAAGTGTGGACCACCGATTTCAGAAGACGTACACTCAGGATGTGCTTTAGTTTTGAGATGCGTCTTAGTTGGTAAAAACATGATTTAACTGTGTTATTGACCTGGGCATCCATCTCCAGAGCCTGGTCCATTTTTACTCCAAGGTTGGAGATTACAGAGGATACATTAGGTGAGAGATAGTTGAGGTCAAGTTGTTGAGTTGCCGTGATACTGTTAGGACTGAAAACGATTAAGTCAGTTTTGGAGTCATTGAGATGGAGGAAGTTGCCAGCTAGCCATTGCTTGACCTCAAGGATACAATCAGACAGAACTTGCGTTGACTTAGTTGGCTTAAATGAAAAGTAGATTTGACAGTCGTCAGCGTAAAGATGGTATGAGACAGCGTGCTTTCTGAAAATGGCTCCTAAGGGCAGTATATAGAGGTTGAACAGTAACGGGCCGAGAATTGAACCTTGTGGGACACCCCAACGTAGAGGCTGTGAATCTGATGAACAGCCGTCCAACATGACCCTAGCAGACCTGTTACAAAAGTATGACCTAAACCAATCCAGGGCAGTGCCTGAAATGCCAGCCCAAGTGTGAAGTCTTGTGATCAAAATGTCATGATCGATCGTGTCGAATGCTGCAGATAGATCCAAAAGTACCAGAACCACATGGAAACCTGAATCTAAAGCCAGAAAAATGTAATTAAACACCCGAACGTGAGCAGTTTCAGTGCTGTGCTGTTGTCTAAAACCAGACTGACAGGTGTCCATTACCTGATATTCATTTAGATGGTTCACCAACTGTGCATAGACTACTTTCTCAAGGACCTTAGATAAAAACGGTAATTTGGAAATTGGTCGTAGATTAGAGTAATCGGTGGGATCGAGGCCGGGTTTTTTCAAGATTGGTTGTAGAACAGCGTGTTTAAAGGCACGAGGAACTTCAGCCAATGTCAAGCTACAATTTATAATGCCTAGCACGTTATTGCTAATTAAAGGAAACACCTCTTTCAGGAGTCGAGGTGGGATAACATCATCTGGGGAGCCAGAGGGTTTCATGGCTGCAACAGTTTTTTCTAGACAGGCCAAAGAGATGGGCTGAAAGCTTTGAAGTTGCCCGTGAGAGGGGATGGATACCTGCCCACCAGGACCAGGATTGGGTGCCCTGCCCTAACCCTTAACCTAATCAAAACCACCCTGTAACCAAAAATCCATCCATCCATCCATCCATCCATCCACTTATCCAGAGTCAGGTCGTGGGGGCAGCAGCCTAAGTCGAGAGGCCCAGACCACCCTCTCCCCAGCCACTTGGGCCAGCTCTCCGGGGAAATTCCTAGTCATTCCCTGGCCAGCTGACAGTCCTCCAACGAGTCCTGGTTCTACCTTTAGGCTTCCTCCCGGTTGGACGAGCCCAGACAACCTCACCAGGGAGGAGGCATCTAGGAGGTATGTTTTGCATAATTTATGAAATTACTCTGTGCAGCACGATTTTTATGTTTGTTTTAGGGTTATGGTTAGGGTAGAGGTTGGGGTAAGGGTTAGGACATGCATTTTTTGAGTTAGTTATTAAGAGGCATGAAAAAAATGTTTTAAGCAAATTTGTTTTCCAAATTTGTCATTGCAGCTTTATGATTCCACAAATAAAACAAAAATGAGAAAGAAATGGGCACACTTGGCCTTTTTGTTTTTCTCTTAGTATTGGGTTTGTTGTTTTGTTTCAAATTACTTTTTAGACATTTTCTGTCTTTTCACATATTAAGTCAAGTCCTTTAACAATAACCGATTGAAAAGGCAGCTAAGGTTTGAAGAGAATATCTTTAAAACCTTTAGTTAATCATTTTTCAATTTTAGTCCAACACGGCATGAAGAATGTGTCCAAACCAGATGTTGAAAAAAGTATTCAAAACCAAATATTTTTACATTTGAAGAAACTCCTATGAAAGCGCTCTGTGTTGGGTCTCTGGGAGCTGACCTACCTGAGATGTGATGGATGAGCTTGCCAGAGCCAGCTGCTGAGCTAGAACGTTTTCAGCACTATTATCAAAGCACCTGTGGATGGCAGTGTTGCACTGCGGGACATACAGAAATAAAATGCACTCACCTCAATTAGAAATCCTACACTTTTGTTCTTGCACAAGCATTCAGCACAAGCACCGACACAAGCCTTTCTTTAATTTGAGTAATCACTATTTTAACAGAAGGATGGAAAATTAGAGAAGTTTCATAAATCCTGTTTAGTTCAGACATAACCATCATTTGCTTTTACACTTTAATGTAACAGTAATAGTTCAGTTTGGCATTATTAACCTATACTATATCACTCATTTAGAATTTGATAACATAATTTCACCAAAAGCCACAATAATTCTTTTGCCTCATTGCAGGAAATTTAGCATCTTATCTTTCAAAATTTTGCAGAATTCAAGACATCTCTAAATGATTACTGGAACATTTTCTCAGCGCAAGTCACCCACATCGTGCTTTGAAATCTGATGAGCCACTGTTTGTTTTCCACCGAGGTTGCTGTTAACCTGATCGCGCATGAACCAAAAACAATATTATTATGCTGTGACTTCACATTCCCCCCCCGCTCCACATACACCAGCTGGAGAGCCTGCTGGCGTTTAGTCAGGTGCACATGTCTCTGCGGTGCAGGATAAGAGGCTCCATCTTCACAAGGTGTAGTGTGTCTGGTGCTGGTGCCCTCTGCATTCTTGGCCCAAATGTTATTAGAAGAACCGGGAGGTAGTCCAGAGTCAGCAGGTTCTTCTCTCTTTAGGAGCGTACCCAGCATAATCAGAGAAAGCGCTTGGTTTGGATTAGATTAGATAAAAATACCAATATAGATGGAAGGTCTCCTTTGAGGTAATTTAGGAAGTGTGTGAAAACGTGGAAGGTACCACTGAATCAAAGAGGGGTTCAGGGCTTATTTGGGGTTGAGTCTGTGACCTTTCTGCTCTGACTCACAGCTGAGGAATGCTTTTTGTGTTTTAGTCAGCAGTAGGATGGAAGAGTAGTCCACAGTTGCGCCTTTCACTCCTAAACTCAAGTATCTGTTGCTCCTTTGTTTAAGTTGCTGCACCTTTTGTCTGTAATTGTAAATATCTCAGGATGTCCCTGAACTATCGGAGCTGAGGGCAGAAGGCCTTCTAGCTGACGGCCAGGGGCCTCTGTGGGTCTGCTGCACAAAAGGAATTCCCCCTGATGGATTAAAAAGACCATTATTTAGCTGTGGGCTAACAGACCACCCCTGTTTTCACATCATACTCAACCGTCAAGCCGTTCACACTCACACCACCTAATCAGGGCTTAGAACTGACATCATCCGCTCTCCAAAGAAAGACGTGATCTGCCCAAAATCAGGTTTAAGTCCCCGATGAATGCAATCCACTCCAGTTTCCCTTCAGGTGGCTGAAAATGTTTTTATTCATCTTCTCTCATTTTCATGTAAACCGAACTATCTTTGCATTATCTGAAACACTTTTCTCAGTTGGGTTATGGGGAGCCAATGTCCATCTCCAGTGGTCGCTAGACTAAAGGAAGGGGACATGCTGGACAGTTTGGCAATCCCTCACAGAAACACACAGAGAAAAACAACCAATCACACACTTACACCTAGAGAAAATTCAGAGTCACTAACCTAAGAAGCTTGTTTTTGGTCTGTGGGAGGAAACCGGGGAAATCCACACGTGCAAGGGGATGACATGCTTGCTCCGTGCAGAAAGGCTGCAAAATACTGATGTCAGAAGATTTTCACCAAACTTGTAAACTTTGTAAATGGTAAATGGCCTGTATTTGATATAGCGCCTTCTAGAGTC